CGCTGGGAGGAATTGAACCGGCAACCATCCGATTTGCAACCTGGGAGCATAACCGCTATGCTATCGACCCGCAGGTCTGCTTCCTTCACTATGTTTAATAGTATATATATATAAATTTTTTATGAATAATTTAAATTATAGACATGCAAAAATACAAACCTGAATTTATTACTTGCGCCAGCTTTGCTTTCTGTTATTGGTATAGTATTTAAATCATCGTTTTCATAAAATTATGTTGATTAATTAAGGCAGGTTTTGTGTGTAATAATGTATAAAAAAAATGATCTTTCACATGAAGTTCTTAAAAAAAATTATTATAACGTTACATGCATATACGTATATAGTTTTTATTATACTAATATTGATACTAACCATTCACAATATAAAAAAAGTCATATGATCATTAGGTGTTAATGAAGGTAAAAAATTAATAATTCTAATATGATACTTCATAGCTACAGCACCTTGGTGCTTGCACGGTGCACCTGACATTCCAATAAAACAATTGTATATTCCAATAGTGCTATTTATCTTATTAATTCTTTTTTTGTACTTGGAACTAAATATTCATCAGTATTTTCTAACTGGAAAATTAAATCTTGATCAACTGTTTCCCAACTGAGACAAAAGAACCTCTTTGAAATTTCCATATGACCAATATATCGATGCACAAATCCATATAAACAACGTTTATAGAATCATTCCATGTTTTTGGTAATAAAATAAAAGACCTGAACTGAATTATATACTTTGGTTTTTGTGAAAATAATATCTTTAAGCAGGCCAAAGCCACGTTCAATATAGTTATTTGTATGGTTGCCACATAATAATAGATTTAGCTTGAAACAATGTGCCCAATGTTGTCATTGATCTCAAAAACGTTCATAATATTTTGCAAATAATAGATATTGCTGATAATAATTAATCTTTAATTCTTGGTAATAATTATTTATATCAGATTCTGTACAAGCATATAAAATTTTTTTTATTAGACTCATTATAGCTATACAATGTTCTTTACCAATACTATGCTTTGAGCTATAAAGCCAGTACCAGAATGCCTGTAAAATATGAAATGTATATAAAAGTAAATTGGATTGTAGCCAACAAATTTTTATCACATTTCGCTCTGCAGCTGAATTATCAGTTAATATATTTTGAGGACCAATATTATATCCACGACCAAAAAATGCATGTTCGGAAAGAATTAATTTTAATAAATTAATTGCTTTTTCAATTGTTGATTCAAGTTCATTAGATATAACAAATAGCCCTAATAGCAATGCACCTGCTATGCAGCTTGTATATAAAAGTGTCAGTATTGGCAAATAGAACAATAGAATAAAAGTTTGATTTTTTGTCTTTATGTAAAAAAATTTTTTTTATTAATAATTTGCAATTATTTAAATATATATTGTTAGACCATTAGTAAAATAATAAATTTAAAATATTTTTGGATTTAATTAATAAAATTTAATACTAAAAATTTACAATAGAAAAATAAAAAAAAATGAATAGAATTAGGAGCCAATAGAACAAACATAGTAAACATGACAACCCTAAAAAGTGTTATTGGTGTATTTAAAGGTTCGAATAATGCAGATATATCTATATAGCAAATTTCCCCAGATTTACAAATTTTTTTATACACTCTACTCATTAGCCCTGTAATAATGCATAGTATAAATGCTTTTCCTATTCATAAGTCATACTCTTGAAGAATCGCTTGTCTATAACCAGATGCATTATAATTTAAAACCTCCTTATTTAATCGCTAAAACATTGATACACCATTTTGTTCACCAAGCTGAGAATTACGATACTGTTCAAAAAGATAAACAACATAGGTATAGTCTGGGTTAATCACATGATTAGCAAAAGTTTCAACAAGACTTTCATTTGATAAGGCCGAAAGATATAACTCATTTTGATGAGTATATAAAGCAGAGGCAGGCAAATAACTATCATAAAATATTTGTGTAAATTTATTATATATTTTTTTATACACACACCTAAAACTAAGTGACTCTGCACAATTAACAATATGATTATGTTTAAAGCAAATATGAATCTCAAAAGAATAACTACTATTTAAATACTGACATTCTAGTCGCAAACTCAAAAACGCTACACAACCTGTATTTCTATTGCATGTTAATTCTGGAAATTTTCTTTCAGGATTACCTTGCTTTTTTCTAACTATTTGACTATGTATACAATGTCTTAATTCTCGAAAAATTACTCACTTGCCTTTAACTCCATATCTTTTCGTTTGTGGCATAGTTGTTTTAGAGTGTTCTTCAAAGACAGAAAACTATTTTTTTATATCTTCCATAGTTGAAATATTAACAAATACATCAACTTCAAATTGCTATATTTCAAAACCCTCATAGGTGTAATGTGGTGGCAACTTTAAAATGTGTTGGATCATATAACTGTAATTCGAAGTGAAAATAGCTTGCAGAAAATCCGGCAATAAGCTTCAAGAAAAAATCTAAGAACATATATATATTATCATTGTTATTAAGAGATTATACTACAAAAAAAATTTCTATTGCCTTAAAATTCAATTTACCTCACAAGAACTTTCATTATTCGTATAATTATTAAGATTTACAGTGTCTTGAATTACTTTATAAGAATCAACATTCGATTCAGCACAGTCAATCTTTATAAATTATAAGAATAAAAAATAGAATTTACTTCAGTTAAATAATAATTAGTTATAAACCAAATACAAGTATAGTTTTGACTCACTTCAATGCTTTTATCTATTCTTATATCTTTATCCACTCTGGCGTCAGCTAGAGTATTAGAAACATTCATCTGCATTATATTATTCGTAAATATACTTCTCATATAATTCAAGAATGAGCCTTTCGAATAATTTATACTAGTAGATGTATTCCACATAGAGTTGGCAAGTAAATTCTCCATATGATATGTAAACGTATTTTCCATAAAATATTTCATATGAGTTGTAAAAGTATTCTTCATATAATTTGTAAACATATTCCCTATTACAAACATATCTTTATTCATATAATTAGTGAATGCGAAAGTCATTTCATGAACAGGAAGGTTAATTCTGCTGTTTTAGAGTAATATAAGTTGACATAAATTGCTATTTTTAAAAAAAAATTCTAATTTATTAATTATTTACATAAAACTAGAGTCCTTTTCTCTTTAATTTGATTGTCTGATGCTTCTTAATTAGTTTTTTGCATGTATATGTTTTTTTTTTTTATAAATTTACGATTTTTTTATACTTTTTTTATTTTTATGATTTTTTTTATTTATTATTGATTTTTTTTTTTGCTTTTTTTATTGATTACTGACGCTTCCAACCTAGTTGTACTAACTACACACTCTTGATCTTATTACTTAATTACTGTTATACTTCATGTTTTAATAGTGCACTATGCTTTAAATGCTTAAAATGCTTGAAGGTACATAGCTTATTATTTATGCACTACTTTTATTCTTTTTTATGCTCCACCTTTCTAATATCAAATTTGCATCAAATTTCTCCTTTATCACCGAACTTCTACCCACACGAACGACGATATTTTTAGGTGTTTGTCTTATTCAAGATAATGAAGAAGAAGTTCAATCTGTAAGATCGAATTTCATATTTATTGATTTTTTAATGCACATGTACAATTACATACAAATTATATCATTTATCTATTATTTGACTTATTTAGACTCTAAATTACTTTTACTACATAGAGTCTGTTATTATTACGATCTGAAATATTTTTGTTATTATGATTTGATACAAATTAATTAATTATAGTATTTGTGTAACCAATTATAGTGCCTGTGCAGTATCTGTGCAGCTAATCATATTCCACTTGTATAATTACATCATAATTATCATTGTACTGCATATTGATCAACATAACCTGGCACAGAATGTAGAGGTGCCTTCAACTGTTTTTCAGGCAAATTTGTTTAGAATTTTGAAAAGTATTTACAATTTTTTAAATAAAATTAAAAAATATTAATAATATAAAGTATACTTTATATATATAATAGTATATTTATGTTTTTACTTTTAAAAAAAAAATTTTGCTTTTAATACAAGTCTTGATTTTTATTAGTTTTTTTTTTTTAATATTGGAATGTAGCGCCTGCCCCAGACTTTTATTTAGTAATTGGACCTGGGTAGGTGTTACCTGGGTCACCCACAGGTGGGTCAGATGACCTGTATTGAGTTGTAGCAACCTGGGTGGGTAACTTATGAGTTGATTTGTGGTCAATATGTGAATAGAAATGTAAATTTAATTACTAATCATACGTATCTAGTTTATGTAATTAAATAAATTTCACTATAGCAAATAGTGTATAGTGTGAAAATCAAAATAGTCACATAGTATTTTATACTTAATTATCTGACTTATTCAAGTTTTTATAATGTAATGTATATAAGATATTTTGTTAATTTTTAATAACAGATGACGTAAAATTTGTATTTTACTTTTGACTTCTAACTAAACTTATTTCTTGTCAACTATGATATCAATTCAAGCTTACAAAATAAATTTATTAAAATCTTCATATCATTTTATATTTAAAAATACCTTCAAGCTTATTAATAATTGCTTTAATATTTATATAATTTACAAAAAAAAAAAAAATTTTTAGTTTATTTGTTAAATTTTTTTTTTTTTTCCGGTATTAAGATGACCTCTTTGGCTGGGGAACGTTTTATTAGATAGTTATATTTTTCAATTACAGTAAGGGTACATATAGCCACACGTGCACCTTTTGAGTGCCTAATTT